GCCAAGGAAGCAGAACAGGCGAAAGCTGAGGAGGCAAGCGGGATGTCACAGGTCGCGCACGTGCTCGACCTACTGCAGCTACTACATGACACACTTTAGACATATAGAGTCAGCTGTACTCAACAGTTGCATGCCGTGTAAGCTCCTGATCAGGAGAAGAAGAAGAAGAAGGATGATCAAAAAAGGAAATACTACCGAGAGGACCTGGCATTCGGGTCATTTAGCAACCCCATTTTCACTGACGACTGATTTTTTATCAAATGTATCATCGATGATCAACCGGTCCCATGAACCCTGGCTGGTGTGTATTGGACCTCCACTTCCACTCTCTCCTGCCATGTTGTTGCCAGGAGACTCGCAATCAGAATGTCCTGGAGGTTCGTGACCTCGCAATGAAGGAGACATCCTACACTCTTCCAAGTGAAGAGAAGCTGAGGTCAGCGATGTCTGGGACCCAAAGTACCCAATACACCCGGTGGACCCCACACACACACACTAGTGTAGAAATATATATCTGCGCCTCAGGTCCTGGACCCACCATGCTGAGATCGAGAAGAACCGGAACATCGGTACGATCTCAACGGTGTCAGGTTCTTGGCGACCAATTGATTACTGCGGGTCTTGTTTGATCGAATCTAAGAATTGATCAATTGGCCACACGCGTTAAGTCTCTGCGGGGCTTAGGCTCACCGGCAGCTTCTACGTCACCAAGCCGTGCCCAACTGGGCTCGAGAAAGTCAACGTGTCCTTGGGCAAAAACCTTCAGGTGCTTCAAACCACAATGATCCCCTGTTATTTGTTGATAACTAGTGTGTGGATGCCTGATCATCCTGGTGTTGACTGCAAGCAGGCAAACACCAAAAATGGGCTGACCCTCACATGGCGTCAGCATGGTGGTTGCAGGAAATCGCTGGGGTCTCAACACGTGTCAACTCCTGACTGCACAGTCTATGTCCTGAGCTGCTTTCTTCCAAGCGACTATCACCGTTTTCCCCCCAAGGTGGAACCTCGCCAGGGTCGTGGCTGGCTGGATCAAGCTCGAGGAAATGGATAATCAGGCATTGAACTGAGCTGAGAGTAGCTTTTGTAGGTGACATGGCTGACCTTTGGTGGGGTGTCAGTATGTCGGAAGGGGTTCAACCCGGCT